GGTCAAAAAAGGTACAACATACAAAATTAACCAACATTTCTTCTTAAATTTGACAATTGTTACCGGTAATTATTGTCAAATTTCAAACAATATTATCGTTTATCGCAATATTTTCTGAGACAATTAAATGACCAGCAAAATTTATTATCCTGACAGGCCTATGCATGCGTGCTACATTGAATGCCTGGCATCATAGTTGCCACATATAAGATGAATTTAGCTTATAAGATAGTTTTAGAGTTTAGCCCCCATCTGTTCTGTGCACATGATAAGACAATCGTAACTCACAGCTCGTCTTACACCTCAGTCAGCACATTTCATAGTTGGGGTAAAAAATTATCATTTTAAAGCAACAGTATGATATTTGGACATTTCCTGTCTGGCAACTGTTAAAGAAACTACAGCGGATTCAACGAGCACAGTTACAGTGTAAACAGGTTTTTAATATTGCTGATTCGCCACAATCAACATTGGAAAAATGCAAACAATTCCAGAGATTGTTCATGTGTAAACAGGGCCTTACAATATCAAAGTGTATCATGACATAATCCCTTCGCAATTATCATCAGCTTGCTGTACTACAACCGTATTATAAATCCATTCAAATACACCTTGTGGCCTTTTTTCAGTCATTCAGATATAAATGCAAAGTTTTGTTTTATCTTTGTGCAGAACCAGCTATACAGCATGTATCTCAGCTAAAGTAAATATATGAGCTGAACTAGCTCACATATTTACTTTATGCAACAAATACAGAGAGATAAAAGAACTATTTGATGTTAAAAATCCCATTTAATTTGAATACTTGATGGATTTCATTCAGTCTGCACCTGACTCATACCCGCTGAAAAGACACAAAATGGACAAGTAGATTTGAAATGCAACACAAGTGTTAACACTTCTGAAATGCCAGATTGCACTGTTCCCCAACACAAAGGCTCATCCTTACAATAGACCTACTTGTTAGACTTATTGTTTTGTCATGAGTACTGGCACCTCTGCTTGTTGTTTCAGGGGCTTCTATAACACACACACAACAAAAAATGGAATGGGATACAGAAAGAAACCCAGTGAAGGATGTCTGAGGGACGACTCGGAGCTGACCCTGTGTATGCAACAACGTGTTTACACTTTCATTGTGTGTCCGTGTGAGTGGCAGATGGACATTCAATGCATGGAGTTGGACACACACAGCCTGTGACATATTAATGATCTCAAGTTATTAAAAACAGCCATATAACAAAATGTATGCCATGGCCTCCGACAATCAGTGATCAATGTTTTCTATAGATCTCTATAGACGTATAGATATATATATATATATATATTTATCTGCATTATATATAGTATGTAGATTTATAAAAAAATGATTTTTACTTAATTACAAGTTGTGGCATTTTCTTTTATATTCATTATTGCAATGGATCGTTATCTAAGATGGTTTTAAAAAAGACAGGTGAGCTCTGTTTTGCTACAGTTATTTACAACTGTTCTACGAAGCAAGTTTTCTGACGCCACACCTTCCCCACAGCCTCCGGAAACGCCCGAGGACCTCAGACAGACTGATCATAAGGTTTTAGAATAACTAAGAAACAGCGGTAAGCTTTCAGAGTTGAAGTGAAATCAAGCGCACACAGCATAGACCAACAATTTCCACTTCTTAGAGCTAAAATAGAACCTCTTCTTTCTTGAAAGTTCAAATTAAGAGTAAAAAACGTTGCAAAAACGACGCAGGATTCTGTGCACAACTGTAGACTTTGTATTAAAATCCTAAAGTTAAAAGCTTTTGTTTAATACACACTGTAAGAACTTACATTAAAGCTGTTACATATGAACAAAAATAACAATAATAATTCAAATTTGTTGATTTTCTGTATGTGACGAACAAAAACTCTGTTCCTTCAGCATCTTCTTTGTGAAAAAAATTGTAAGCAAAGATCCAAATCTAAAACGGGATGTAAAACAAAGTTTCCTAAAACATAGTTTTTTAATTTAAGTCTGAAAGTTAATGACAGTTGCATTGATGTCAGCTTTACCGTTTCCTCCGGTAAAACAACACAGATGCATTCGGAGCAAGAAACTGGTCCTGAATGAAATTAAATCTGCCGAGTCCAGTCTGAGGCTAAACACCAACGTTTAAAACACAACACTGAACACTAGAACAGCATTTCTTTCTCTTTCTAACTTGCAGACTGAATTCCAATTACAGTAGTCCCTCATTGATCCCGTGGTATCTGTATCGTGAAGACCCGCGATAAGTGAAAAAACCGCAAAGTAGGAATAGTAGTACAAGTAGTAAATAGTAGTTAATATATATCTATAGATATATAGATACATAGATATTAAGGTGTTTTAAACCCTTCCCACGTTCTTGCAATATTCTAAACAATGTTTCTAAACTCTAAGCGCTCTAAAAGAGCACAGAATGTCACGATCTCCCTCTCTTTGCCTCCGTTGCTCTCAGCCACCTGCAAGCATTCTTGGCCACGCCCACTTCTCTGTTCTGCATGAAGATCAGCTGATCTCACCTGTTCATCTGCAGGAGGAAGTTTATCTTGCATTAAGGGCTGCACAGAGGTGCTAAATAATTCAAAATAATTTATTTTAAATAAAAATTCCATGCCGATCATCGTCCATCTATCAGCCAATTGGAGGTCATGTCCAATCTTATTTTGAAAAACCGCAATAGAGCGAATCCGCGATAAACGACCCGAAAAGTAGCGAGGGACTACTGTATTGCAGTTCACTTTTAGGGCTTCACTAAATAGCGGTTTTTTTTAAACCCAGGTTTTTTTTTAAATATTGTGTACATGCTGTGCACTACTGTTCATCCATCTCATTGTCATCATCTTCATCGCGATCGCAAAAGTTTTTTAAGATCATATGAAGTGTTTATAAGAGAGTGGAAAAGGTTACTAAGAGTGTGGGAAGGGTTTGTAAAGCCTAAAATAAAGATATAGCGCAGAGCTAGCTGCATGCAATACAGGCGCGCTAGCTAAATGCTGTCATGTTCACCACTCTCTGCCACGCCCACTAATCAGCGCTCATGCTCTGCATCTGCTGCATGCTCTAAGAGCTCAATCCACGCCAAGTCTCTGCCAGATTATTTAACCCTTCATGGTATTAGATGTCCAGCACTTTATTCATGTTCATGTCAGATTCTCTTGTCTGGACCTCACGCTCGTCTCTTGTATTTACTTCTCTGCCTGCTCCACATCTGGCTTTATTCTGCCTGTCTGACCCTAATCTAATCTGACCTAATTTAAGGATCTTACTCTGGATTTGTTCTTGGACCTCTAACTCCCCGTGCTTGACCCCTGCTTTGCTTTTCGGACCACGACCTAAGATTGCCCCACTGTCAATACTATTCACAGCATTAAAGGCCTCCCTTTGCAGCAGCTTTCCCACCAGTTATGGTAACGCCCTCTCATCAAGCTCCAACAGGTGGCTCCCACCTCACCTGCCTGAGAAGGTTAGTGGCTGTTTTCTGCTTTCAAGCAAGCTTCCTGAAACATACAATCTACTAACTATATTATCTCTGCAGACTTGTTCCCGTGACTGGATCCAGACTCCCACCAGCAGCTGCAAAACAAGAAATATTTTTACTCTTCTTGTTGTCTGGCTGAATTGTCAAATCCAAAACTCAGGTTCTTGTCACATGCTGCCCCACCCCGCCCGCTGCAGCTCAAACGTCTCTTCGTGTCTGCCCACCCCCCAGTCAACAAAAATCAAGGAAGAGATGAGCACCCCACCATGGCAAGTTATCTAGTGGAAACACTGATTTAAATAATAAAGTAAATTTAATGCCGTTACTTCGTGGATTTTCTCCTACCTACCGCAGGGTCTCTGGAAGGTAACCCCTCTGATAGGTGAGGGATCACTGTATTATCTTGTTGAGCGTAAATGTTAGATGTTTCACTAGTCGAAACAACTTTATTTGGATTATATTTGGAACTTAACTTGAGTAATTCAGCTTTCTTGGAAAGTAATTTTGTTGCAAAATGCTAGTTTAGGTTCTTATCCTTAATTTGAAACTTTTCTAAAGGAAGATGCAAATGAATCTTTGTTTTTGTTCGTCGTGTAGAAAAAACTTGAACATGTTTTCAGAACACATGAAACAGCTCAAGCGTACAAACAGAGGGGCACTGTGACGTCTTACAGCGTGTACGGGAAATTCAAGTTCAGATTTTGGCTTTTAGCTTTAGCATTTTAGTACCGAGTTTGTCCTTTGTAAAATTTTAAACAAAAACTTTCAACAAACAAAGTAAGTTCAGTTGTTTTGTATTCAAGCACTTTGGATTGCCATGTTCTGGATGACTGAGAACACAATGATCCTCAGTTCCATAAGAACTAGCAAACACGACTGGAAGTCACTGCGTTGTAGACAAACCTGCAACAAATGCTTCGATTTGCCTTTTCAGCTGTTAATATGTCTAGGTTTAATGTTCGAGAAGACCTGGATACTGAATTTGTTCAAAGTTTTCCCACCTGTACGCCATCATTTACTCTACAAACTTCCATGAGGTTCCGGCGGTCAAGTTGAGAAACATTTAGAGATGTGTCCATGTCGTTTCTTTCATCCTTTAAGTTTAAATAAAAACTAGTCATCAGCGTATTATCTAGCAGTTCTAATGTCATGACGTTGCTGCTGATGAGGGACTCCTGCGCTTTGAGGTTATTTCTGTTCTCTAATGGTTGACTAGTTTGCTGACTGAGCAAGAAATTATTCTTTATGTGTTAAAAAGGCTTTTTTTTTCATTCACTTTGTGGGAAAGTAGCAGGTTTGCACAGTCTGACCGTTCAAGCTTACAGTTTTCTGGTCTCCTAATGGTTATAATATCTGGCACGCAGTCTTTGTAGGCAAGTAGAAGATGATGACCATGGTGATGATGATGAAAACAATGTCTTCGTAAGGCCTTGTCAGTGGGTGTGGCTTTATAGGCCATCAATGTCAAAAGAAGACTGAACAGGTTCTGAGCTGACTTGTCTTTTAGAAACTGTTATCTTTTTTAATCATCATCATTGGGTTTGTGGTTGTCTTCTTTTTTTTTCTTTTTTCATGTTATGTAAAATCTGTGCTGGCTTTCATGTTGGCTTGATGTTATCACGATAGTGTTCTCCCCGAAAAGAATAACAATAGAAAAAAGTTAATGCTGAAGTGTGACGTTCTAAATGTCCATCGTTCTCACAGCGTTCCCTCCACAGCTGTTCTTCCTTTGTCTCCTGCACAACGAGTCAGCGGCAGCAGGACGGTGAAATGATTGTTTTCAGGAGTTCACGTGTGTAATAAAAATGTCTGTATCTGAGAAGTTTTATAGGGTTTCTGTTACGTGATTTTGCGTGTGGATGTGGTGTTGTTGTACGTCGAGTTTCTGTCTGCGTCTTGTTGGAGTCTTTGTGTGTCGTTAAGGCACGGCAGGTGTTTTTGGTTTTTCAGGGCAGTCCGGAGGAGACCACTGCAAGGCCGGGGTGTCGGAGGGAGGCGTGGCCAGCATGCACGGCTTTGGGGCAGTCTGGAGTCAGGACACGGCCGTTCTCCCCCACACTTCCTGTGATGGACAGACGGGCCTTATTCCGCATGGCTTCAGAAAAAGATAGCTGCGTGAGGAGACACAAGGAGGAGGCAGAGACAGCAGAGCGGAACACGATTAAACCAATTAGTCATGTCAGAAACATGGAAACTGCACAGCAGATGCAACCGTTTTCATCGAGACATCAATGCGTCTACACACATTCATGCACATAAACACACATGCATATGCCTGTACACACACACACACACACATGTAGTAAAATGCCTAAGGGCGCAATCACACAAAAAGGAAACATAACAAAAACAGATCTGTTTGTGGATTTTTAAAAATGTTTCTTCATAATAGGATTTCAAGACCTTTTTGAGCAAGCAATCATAAAATGATTGAATAATTCACTAACAAATCATTTAATAACCTTTTTTTTTCAAATTGTGTTCTTTTAAATCAAATTTTGAACAAATTATTCACTAAAGTTGGCTGAAAATGTATTTTTCACAAGGTTATGATGTTTTAGTAGTTTAGTTGTAGCTCTGCATTATAACAGCTTATATATCTTTCATATCCTTTGAAGTAGTTTTGATGTAAAGTTTAAAAACGATAATTATCTTACCTGTTATAGACAGCTCTTTGTAAACCTGTTTGTAGAAATAATGTTTTCTCCTGACTGGACTGATGAGTTAATGGAAAGTCCCAATGGAGCAAGAGCCAAAGCAGATTACTGGAGCCTTAAAACAACTTTAGTCTCTAACATTTATTAACAGTTCACAAGAAAGCTATTTCACAAACCTTTCCACTACGTTTTGTATTATGTGGTTATTTATATTGAAAACATGTTGAGCTCAGAAAGGGAAACTATCTGATGGATCAATAAGCAGATGCAAAAAATATATACATATATCTTTAAAACTTCCAATAATAGTCAGTCAGGTCATCTGGGCAGTTTGTTTTTGTGGAAAGATGTTTCACCCTCTATCCAGAGGACTTCATCAGTCCGAGGAATCCCAAGTAAACTGTTTTTCCCACTAAGCAGTACACTCCTTTAGTGGACCAACCAGTTTGGTGGTGATAAGATGTTTTCTGGGGGCTGTCCTGTCCCCTGTCAACTCCCCCCAGGCAGGCAGCCACAGCCAAAGTGGTTCAAGGCATCAAGACATCATTGGGACTCCTCAGACTGATGAAGCCCTCCGGATAGAGGGCGAAACGTCTTTCCACAAGAACAAAACTGTCCAGATGACCTGATTGACCGTTATTGGATTTTGCACCTGGATGAATGAGCATGAACTTTGATCTATAAAACTTCATTTGCTTCAATGTATATGCAGTCTTGGGTTGGTACACTGCATTAATTTAGCAATAAAACAGTTTTCTCCCCAGGTCTTAACACATGGGCAGCACGGTGGCACAGCTGGTAGAGCTGCTGGCTCTCAGCGAGCAGGTTAACCTGGTTCAAATCCTGGTCCCGGGACCTTTCTGAGTCTAGTTTGCATGTTCTCTCCGTGCATGTGTGGGTTTTCTCCGGATACTCCAGTTTCCTCCCACAGACTAAAAACATGCATGTTAGACTGATTGGTAACTCTAAATTGTCTCTAGGTGTGAATGAGAGAGTGAATGGTTATTCGTCTCGTTTGTCTCATGTGTCCCTGTGATGGACTGGAGACCTGTCCAGGGTGGCCCCCGCCTCTTGCACAGCGATGGCTGGATCTGGGCACCAGTGACCCCCGTGACCCAAAAAGGAAGAAGCGGGTAAAGATGATGGATGGATGGAAATGTTTTAGGATGTCAGCAATTCCTTCTGGTCATATTAAACTTGAGTTCATTAGTCTGGTCAGAATTAAAAACAGAGCTATCTACAACACGTGTCGGACTTTGTGGCCTTTTATAAAGGATACTACGAGAGGCTTTAAAAAAAGGAATTTTTAATCAACAAATTGTATTTATTGAGTTCTCAAAGGTGATCAGCAGATTACTTGACAATAACAGTTTTTTACATGCTAACATAATAAAATCTTTTTTGCTGTGATTAGAGCACTACTTGGTGATTTCCAACCAACACTGGATACAACTATCACCTAAGAGGAATGGCTTTTATATGATTTTTTTGTGTATTTTGTAAACACACAAGGCCACTTTTTAATAAGTGACATGTTTAAAAACTCCACAGGAGGCTTACTAGTTTTATTTTGCTAAACCATAAAAATTTTACTTGGTTTGTAACAAGAGGAACACATTTTTATTATGTTATTTTTAAATTTGAATGTAGCTAAACTTAAAAAAAAAAAAATAATAACTTGGGCAAAGTGTGAATGCACCCTAAACTCCTTAACAACATTTCAAACAGCATCTGTAATGAAAGGCAAAGCAGGCAACAGTCAGCAAACACGTGAAGGAGACAGTTTTGGGTTGTGGACATCTGCATTTGGGGATGCCATGCATCGTTGGGTTGTGGGCTTGAGTACGCAAGATTAGGTTTGGGATTTGAAAGGATTAGGAAAGTGAGGATACAGGAAAGACAAAAGGAAAACATAAAGAAGTGACTTTTGTTGGAAAGTTTCAGATTTATAGAGAGGGAGTGACTGATACTGCTCAGAGCCGGGCGACACTTCACACAAACGTGACGTTAAAGCTGTCGGGATGAAAACCCCCATTTTTCAGCCAGAACGCAAACACACATGAACGGTCAGAGGAAACTTCAAAAATTTGCTCTTTGCTGATTTTATTTTTTAACCTACAGATTTTGATTTAAAGGGATATTCTGGTCATTTTATTAAGTTAATTTTATTTTTTTTTGCAATCACAAGAGTGAAAAAAATACTACAAAAGCTAATATTAAGCCTTTTTGCATAAAACAGCTCAGTTTGTCTCAACGTTCCTGTGCAAATACATTCATGCTGAGTATAGATAGACCGATGGTGCTGCGGCTGTGAATGATCAGCGCATCTAGTCAGTGCCAGTGTTTACTCATCTCCCAGCAGACTGATACATCCATCAACCTCAGCACAATTGGCATCAATGGTCTATGCTCAGCACAGAAAAGCCCTTTTCATTTGGGCTAAACTCAGCCTGCTCAGGTTGACCCGGCGTGGGTTCAGAGGCTTGCTATTGGCTGATCGGTTCTTAGGTCACACCAGCTAAAGTTCCAGGCCAGCTGCACCGAGCCAATGATTTCCTGTCAGCAGTCTGTACGCAGTCATTGGCCAGTTTCTACAACTTGCTTTTATCCATTTTTCTAATAGTGTAAACCTTGTAAGTCTTATCTGGCTCACTTGTAGCTTGTGTATGACTAATCATAGATGGAGCGTGAGGCATACCATCACCTCACCATCATACTCATCCTTCATTATCTGATGTCTGCAAAAAGTTGTATTAGGGTAGTGTCAACCAGTTGTACTATGACGATTCTGCCAACAACTCGAGTGAAAAGAAAGTCACTGAGACTGTGTGAAGTCAAATTAGGACGAGGTGGATGAGCTACATAAACAATAAAGACTTTCTTTAGGTTGCTCCTTTATTCAGGTGTTGCCACAGCAAGCAAACTTTTTTTTTTTTTTTCATTTAGCCTTTATTTATCCAGGTTAGTCTCACTGAGCCACGAGAACTCATTTTCAAGAGAGACCTGTTTTTTTTAGGGAGCACATGGTGGGGGTTAAGGGCCTTGCTCATGGGCCCAGAGTGGGGCGAATGAGGGTGGGGGCAAGTGTGGGTGTTTCACCTACCCCACCCACAATTTTTGATGTTGTCGGGGCCGGGGCGTGAACCGGCGATCTTCGGATCACAAGCCCACCTCTCTAACCTCTGCGCCACCACTCCACTTATATGAACGATTTGGCAATTGTTTTACTCCGGATGCCCTTCCTGATGCAACAAGGGTTCAAACCTGCAACCTCAGGATTACCTAGACCGTGGCACTAACCACCGTGCTACTGAAGCCGTTTGCTACCACAGCCGCGCTACACTTGACAGTCGAAACCAGCTATGTATTAGCGTAACAGGAACTTTGTTTAGTTGAGAAAGCAGAAACAAATAAAGCAAACGGTGTCATGTGAAAGTGCAGAGGCTTAACATTAGTTATTGTAGCGTTCTTTCACATAAATATGTTGTTTTGACAAAAAAACGTTTGAAAAATGACAAACAACAGGACCTCATTTGGCTAACCATTAGTCAAAGTGAAGATTTTTTTTAGCATTTTTTCATACTCAGTGTTTTGTGGCTGAAGTCATGGCTGATAATTTACTTACTATTGATAATTATATGACAGAACATTACTTTAAAAATAGACTATTTCTTTAAAACTGATGTATAAGGAAAAAAAATCTGTATTTAGTGCACTCCATCTAGTTATTTAGTTTATCTCAAAGGGAATCAAACAGTGGTGTAGTCTACGTGATACGTGAGTATACCCACTATAAAAGATTAAGATTTTCAGTATACCCACAAACATGCCCAATGATACTTGACATCATTAGACACGTGTCATTGGTATGTTAAACAGCAGTTAAATGCTTCCGCAACAATCTGTCTGTATGCATGTATGTATTCGCCACATAATCTAGCTGTTTATTCGCTACGTTTCCTTTAATTATTCTTTTAATTACCATTTTATTTTCATTTGTAACAAAACAAACAAAATTGTATGCATCCTTTATGATTGTCTATTGTTGTCGTTTGTCCACTGTTGTCGTCACTCTGTTAAAATTCACGTCTCTCTTGTAAATGAGTCCTCGTGGCTCAGTGGGATTAACCTGTTTAAATAAAGGTTGAATGAATGCAGCACTTGTTTATTACATTCACTTATCCAGCAAATTAATTAATACTTCTATGCTTCTTAATACTTGAACAGGTTTTGCTTTGATACTGTTTTTATAAAGTGTATAACATGTTTTTAATGCAAAGCCAACAGTTGTACAAAGTTTGTTGTTCATTTATTCAAATATAAGCATCAGAGAAATGTGGAAATGTTCAATATGCTTAAAAATACAAATAAATTGACGATTACATTGTACTAACCAGTGTACTTTGGTTTCTAAGCACAGTATACGGATCGACCGCAGTAAAGTAATTTTTACGTTGGACATTCGTACTCCGTGGCTTCAGCTGTGTCCATCGTAAAACTAAATTTACCTTGGCACACACACTACAAGAATGTAGACTACACCACTGGAATCAAACCTTGTATTTCCTGTGAATCTTTTGTTAGTAAGTCCAATAAACAAAAGTTCTGTGACTCTTTTCATTTCACCAACAGTAATTGCACCGTGGCACCAACAAACACGAGTCGTGTTTTTGCAACATCACTAAGTAACTGTTCTTTACGAAGTGTTTTGCTTCATCGGTTATTCCTCTGCATTAATGCTAATAAGTAGGCGGGCTGTTTTAAAGTTGTCAGGACTAGAATAAATCAACAGTGCCTATTTAAACCATTTACAGCAGGGCTGCACGACTCCAGTTTATGGATGACACAATAAAGGCATAATGCATCAGTGGTACTTTGAATTCAGATTAAAGCCCTGTTCACACTTTTCACAGACATTTTTAAAAACTGAGATTTTCCGCTGTTCTTATGCTGCAAATAAAACAATAAAGGTTTAGGTTTAACAATAATAAGATGCAAAAACAGAACTCTGAACGCTTGTGGTATTTTTGCAAACCTCAGCAGATGATACATTTTGCCTCTAAATTATTGGAATGAGCTCAGTGTAAACTGGTTTTAGCAAGCTCACATCTGTGTTGCTTATGTGCTTGTCCTCAGTGGTGCAACAGAGAGGTCAAAATATAAAAATAATAATAATTATTATACTACTAATGGTAATTAATCATCAGGAAAGCTGAGCATCCACGGGCATCAGAATATTATAAAAATGTTTTCTTCAAGAGAAGCCTGTCACGTCAGGAGTGTGTAGAAATTTGTTCAAGTCAGAAGCAAATTCCCGATGACTGCTGTCCACGCAGCAGCTAATTAATTTGTAGCTAGAAGCAGAGACGCATTTTAATGAGGAGCATCGCAGTAACGAGGTTTTGCTCTCACAACGGTGAAATACCAGAATAAACTCCTGTCTTGAAAATAAACTGTGATAAATATTTTAAAATAGTAAGTGTGGTAAACTGATATATATATACTTCATGGTTATACTGTTCAAACTGATTCAAAAAGACATCAGCTCTGTTTCTATTAGAAATTGAAATAATTAGACGATCAGCATCCGAGAAAATTTTAGTGATTCATCTAGAAATTCAATGTAATAATTTTTGGTCAATATCTTTGTCAATTTACACAAAAATAAAATGATTCTACAGCTTGATCATTGTTTGATTAGTTTATGTCTCTAATTTGTGATAATGCTGTTGGAAAAAAGTGAAAAAGAAAGCTAAAAGTACTCTTCCTCTTAAAAGCACATGTAGATAAATGGTAAATGTACTGGACGTCATGCAGCGCCAGAGTTGTGCATTCCTGCTTCATCACTCTGTTGTTAGCGATTGACTGAAACAATGATGCAGGTGCCTGGTCAGTTCATTAGCCAAGAGCATCACCATCACTGTCATCCTCCTCATCATCATCACCATCTGCAGCCAAAGACGATGGAACCAAGTTTTTTGGTGGCACAAATCTAAACCCAATTACTCAAAACACAAACTGAAATTGAACTCCAAATAAAGATTCAGCCAATAAAACAAACAAAAACAAAACAAAAAAAATAACATAAAATGTTATACATTGGTTCCACAATGCTTGACCACATCCTCATCACCACATAAACAATAAATGAAAATAAGACGTGGGGCTGCTGCAACAGCGTCAACAATACAGACTCTACAGCACTACCACCATGATCAACACCACCATCACCCCCACCTAAACATGGGAGCCTCTAAATCCTACCCCTATATCTTGACCCCCTCGGAGCCGTACACGTTGTACCCCTCCCTATAAGTGGCTAGATTCTGGGTGCTGGGGGAGGGGCTGGGACAGTGGGGGGGGCTAAGGTCCACCTTCATGCGCTTGGCTTCGGCCCGTGACTTGTAGCAGAACTCAACCAGGGCCACCAGCATGGCCAGGCCCAGGCCCCCCACGAGGATGTAGAAGACCCCCGCCACGTTGGACAGGCTCAGAGCCTGGGAGGACTTGTCCTGCAGAAAAGGGGGTGTGGGGCGGTGGTGGTGGAGGTGAAGCGTTGGTGATGTAACAGGTTTTGTTGGTAGAAAAGGCAATGTTCAAAGGGAAGTGATGGATGAAGAGATGAGAAAGAAGGGAAGGAAGATGGAAACGTGAAGGGGAAAATGACAAAAGAAGAAGAGTGTTGTGGGGAGAAAAGGTTTTGTCTCAATGAGGAATGAAAAGGAGAAGAAATGTGGGAAAAGTACAGAAGAAATACAAAACAGAAAGTCAGGCACTGGGAATATGACAAAAGAAACCAACAAAAGACACTTTACTGGCCTACAGTAAACACTTTTATTCTACTGAATGACATCACAATATCATAAATATCTAAATCATTGTTCTTCTACATGCTTAACATAAATGATCAAAACAAGTTTAAATACTACCACTACGACAACTTCAACAAATCTGTGACATCAGTGCAACATTATTTTAGATTTCTCCAGTGCAATGTGAAAGTCGGGTTGGTTAAAACTGGTGGTGAAGACTTTTTACTTTTGTGTGAGTAAAATTAAATTTAATTTAAAGCTTATTTTTACAACAAATGTGTCTTCAATGATTCTTGGAAAAACTATTGTTAATACTACAAATATAAAAGTAATTAAAACTTGAAAAACGAGTCATTTCAATTTCTTCCATTTCTTTCATCTTGAAAAAAAAACTTTTTACTTTTCAAAACATCATTTATATTCAGGTAATTATTATTTGAAGAACAACTTGTTTTATTTAAATAATTATTGGTAACTTTGATTCTTCATAATTTATTCTTGACGTGCAATATTGTTTTTTTTTGGCTCATAAATGGGCACATTTCATATTTTTGTTCAAACAAGTATTCTGAAAACTGTCAGCATTACTACTCATTTACCCTGCAGTCTTCTAAAAACAGCTGACAGTAGATGTTAAATGGTGCACCGTAACCTTCAAACTGAGCCAATAGTTCAAATCTTTTATGGAGCAGTTCTCTGGAAAGTTATGAACAAAAGGTGCATCGTGTTGTAGAAAGCTCTTAAGAGAAAAGTGAGCCTGACTGGATTAACAATCTCACATCTTGTCTGGGCAGAACCAAACCAAAGTGAGTTGCTGCTGTCTTAAAATAGTTAAAATCTCAAAATGCTCATAGTATCTATTTCCATTTGTCTACTGTTACTTTGCCGGCAGTTTCACAGTGCATGCTTGTTCATACTGTAGAATCTTGTGGGTGTTTGCAACTTCACACAGCGGCAGTAGCAACACGGTATTTCCCGGCTTCTCATGCGCCTTCTTCCTGATGTTACAGTTGCTTGTGACATTGATCATTGACTACCGACTTCTTCTGTAGCTTGTTGACCACCACAATGTCTAGTTGGTTAGCCCTCACCTGTGTTTTCAGTCTGGATCTAGAAGCCCTGCAGTATCTTAACCCGTCTATTCTCCCCCACCCTTGGTGGAGTCTTCCATTTTGACTGTGGAACCTCCAGTTCACACAGCACAGATGTTCCTGTACACTACTCCAGATACTTGGTTGAGGCGTTCCATGTATGCTTTGCCTGCCTGTCCCATAGGTCCTGCTATTATGTGATGGATCTTAGGGGCTTGTTTGCACAGCTTGCATCTTGGATCCTGTCTGGTACGGTAGATCCCAGCTTCTTTTGCTGTTATGCTGCCATGATTAGTGCCTGAGTGCTTCCTTCAGTTAAGCCCTCTCTGGCCAATGCATTGGCATCAGAAGCAATTGGAATGTATGTGTGTGTGTGTGTGTGT